CAACTTAAAGCATCTCTCCCTCCCCCCAAGTGGCCATGGAGATTCTCAGCCCTCCAGGTCCTGGTTCTCCCAAAGGTGCTTTTTTTTTTTCTTCCCAGGAGCCAACTGGACCTTCTTGGTTTTTCTTTGAAGACGTTTCACTTCTCATCCCAGAAGCTTCTTCGGCTCCCCTCAAGGAGCCCCACCCTCTGATGGAGCAACCTTCAGGGCCTGCCTGGAGTAGCTGCTTTCACTCCACTTTGCCTCTGGGGCACCTTCCTTGGTGGGTGGGATTCTGAAAGGGGACCCCAAGAGTCAAAGCGGGACTAGGGCTCAAAGCCCCCCTCAAAAGCATCGTGGCCCAAAAGCCAACCCCTCTCGCTGGGCTGAACAGCCGTCGCCCGCAGGAGCCCTTGGATGCGCAGGGAACGGCTGGAGTGCCCTGCAATTGTGTGTCCACGGGTGTTTCATTTGCTGCCAAGCCAGCGGTATGTGCACATGGAGGCAGCATCGGAAATAAATATCTTTTATTGTGTTTGTTTCTTAGCAAATGCGGCCCAACCTCTGCCAAATCACGTTTTCTCCCTCCACCCTTCGATGAGGCTGAATCTTAGGAGGGGGCTCTGGGGCTCTGGCTTGTGTGCAGTTCAGCCTCCAAATCTCAGCGGGGTTCTGTGTTAGAAGGTCTGTCTGCAAAACACACACAGAGGGACACACACAGACACACACACAGACACACACACACACACACACACAGCCCCCTCCCCCAGCTTCCAGAGTCATTAAAGAGATCAATAGAAGAACAAAGAGCTGTGTCAGAACTGCAAAATCGGACCTCAGGATAGAAAATGGAGCATAGCCGAACAGATGCCCAGGTTAGTGTGGTAATAAATGTAATAAATCAGCGTAAGGAAAGGTTCATTTGCAAACCGGAATCTTAATTTTTCACGTGCCCATTGCCTCAATCCCAAGGCAGCCCTCTTTTTAGAGCTGACTGTTGGCACAATAGGACCAAACACGCAGCTACGCCCAACATTTGAAAATGGAGAAGCAAAAGGGAAAAAATGGTGGGTTTGTGAGGATTTCCTGTGTGTGTGTAGCAGGGTGAGGACAGGAAAATCTTCAGAAGGCCTTCTGGGCTCCTGAGAGATGATGCTTTCGCCTGGGTGGGCGTTGGGCGGGTTGCTGAGAAAGGGAGGGAGGGAGATTGATTGGTTTGGTTGGATATTTCCATATGCCAAGCAAGATAGGCAAGTAATAATTTATTCTAATTGGCACCCTGCTGCATTCTTCTGCTCTTTGATGAAAATGCCCAGCTGCTGCCTCTTCCTCCCAACACCTGGAGGAACCAGTGGTTAATGGAGGAGGAGGAGGAGGAGGAGGAGGGAAGGCCTCTCTTCTGCAGCCGCTTATTACTTTAGGAAGTTCAAGATGCGAAGACCACGTCTCTCTTTGAAGAGAAGGCAAATCTCAGCAAGCTGGGCTTGTTTTTTATATTCCACACACAGTTGGGTGCTTTCAATCCTGGCATTAACTTTGACTGTGATCTCCTTGGGCCAATGCCAGGGCATTGGGGGCCCCTGTGTGGCCCAGATGCAACTGGGCCTTCCTCCCGTCTTAAAAAATTGCCAGCCCCAGGAAGGAAGGCTAAGCCAGTTGGCTCCCCTTCACCCTCTTCAGTTCTCGGTGGATTGATTCGGATCCAGATGTTCCCTGAACCACTGCCCTCCCTGGTTCCCCTTTGGCTCAAAGCAACGTTTGTCTGCCTCAGCTATCTTAAGACAGGTGGACTTCAACTCCCAGAATTCCCCAGCCAGCATGGGTAAGATTTGAATTCCCAGAATCCCCAGGCCGGCATGCCAGCTGGGGAATCCTGGGAGTTGAAGTCCACAAGTCGTAAAGCTGCTGAGGTTTCGGGAAAGGTGTTGACCCTTGGAGGGAGCTCTTCTGGGCACAGAGGCCTTCCCGAACCCTGCTGGATTGAGTCTGGAAAACAGGAAGCGTTTTTTCACGATGGCCTTCTTTCCAAAAAGGGGATGCCCTACCCCATGCTCTCCCCCAGCCTGACCGTCATCCACAGGGCATCATGAAGGAGCTTTGGAACAGATGAATAGGCAGCCCCTCCCTCGCACACACACCCAGGGGTCCCCCTTCCTGAGATTCCCCCCCTCCCTGCACACCAAGGGACCCTGGAGCGTTTTAATGAAGGGCTGGCACACCAGCTAATCTGCCTCTGCTTCCTGGGCTACGCATATTTTCGAGTGGGGGTGTCGGATCCCACATGGATCTCCTGGAAGTCTGCCAGCATTTATGCAGGAAGAGCCGGATCTGCTGAGATGCGCTCACCAGACGAAGCATCCCGTTGCAGTGCTCTCACTTGCAGCCCCCGGCCATGTGCAGACCCCCAGAACTTCTTCCCAAGGAATCTCGGGGGGTGGGGGGGCTATGGCTGCCGTGTCCCCTTCTCCCACCTCCTCTCCCCTATTTCTACATCCCTTTGCACCGTTGGAATCGCGTTCCTCTGATGCTCGGCCAAACGGGCTGTTTCCACCAGATCAGGAAAAGCAAAGGAAGCAGTAAAAAAATAAAATAAAAATAGCATGGCTGCACATGATGTGTCTGACAGCAGCCAGGAAGTATTTGGCAACTCTGTAAGACATGGATGGGAGCTGAAGAAAAGCAGCCTTCAGAACTGGAGACCTCTGGGGCCTGCCTGTCCCAGGGTGGGGCTGTTGCTGGAGTTGTCACTCACCAGCCGAAAAAAAATCAATAATAAATTCCTAAATGGGAATATTAAAATCATTTGGGGAAAAAATAGAGAGCCCGTAGGTGCTTTGGTTAAGATGTTGGACGGATACAGATTCTGGTTAACTCTTAGTCATGCAACACCCTTTGGGCCAGTCATCAGCTCAGCCTGCCTTGCAGGACTGTCGTGCAGGGCAAAATAGACCTTGCGCTGAGCTTAGATCCAGTAAAAGTGCATACTAAGTAAAAAAAATATATATGCCTGTGGATACCTTTCTCCGTGAGTAGAGGCTTTGAAAGGGTTCTCCCTTCCTTGATTTGTTCCTGGCTGTCCTTTCAAACTGGAATGCCAGGCTGCAGATCCTGCCACCCACCCGCTAGCTGGCTGCGTTCACACAATCTGCTTCACCAGGCTGAGGAGGGAGGAAAAAGAACAGCAGGGGCCTTTGCTCAGCATGCTAAGCTCGGTGGGCATCGGCCAGCACGCTGAGTCAGTCAGCTGGGTACTTTTACGGTGCTGTGCCTATCCTGCGCTGCCCAGGATGCAGTGGGCTGGGGCAGTGTGCAAATATTCTTAAACAGACAACCAGCAACCTTTAAAAAGCGAGCCTATCGGGAGCCAAACCAGGGTTTAATTCAGTCCCCAGCTTAAGGGTGAAGTGTGCGCAGGCAACTTGGGCATCTTATTTTTCCAGGCAGGAGAAGAACCAGGAAACCCAGCAACCTGCTCAGAGGAAGCCAAAGGGCTTCAGGGAGATTAAGGAAAATTATTCTGAGCTGCATCCCTCCGTGGTCCTGGCATTTGCCAAACGAGAGTCCAAGGGCATCTACAGGATGCCAAGGGATGACAGCCACGTTTGGCCCGGCAAAGCTCCTTTGCCCGTCTTCACCTACCTATTGCACCCACCATGCTTGCCAGCCAGAAGAGGAAAATGTGCTGCCTTGGAGCAAAAGGCCAGAGCAACACAGACCCCCACAGATCAGGAGGCCCCCCACGCACCTCTGCCCAGGCGATGCCCTTCGTGCTGCGGATGCCCCAGTCTTTGAAATGAGGTCAGTCTGGAAAAATGATCTCTCTCTTTCTCGCTCCCCCCCCCACCTCCTGTCCTGTCAAGGGAGCGACAGGTGGGGGCTTTCAGCGTTTTCTGTTCTGGGCTCCCCAGAATATGCACCAGGACAAGAAACAACAGGTGGAACCTCATCCAGTAGACAAAGCAACCTGGAATGGAGGAGAAACTTCCTGATAGCAACAACAATTAGCCGGCGGGACAACTTGCCTGCCGAACTTGAAGGTGCTCCATCCCTGGAGGTGCTCCATCCCTGGTTAAGAAGAGACTGGAGAGTCACTTGGTCTGGAATGGGGTAGGGTCTCCTGCTCTTGCAGGGGGGTGGACTACAAGACCTCCAAGGTCCCTTCCAGCTCTATTGGATTGATGGATGTGTGCACTTCCAGCCTCTGGTTAGGCAGAAGATGGTCCAAGGCCGCCTCGCCACCTTGTGGCCAAATGAGGCATTTTAGAAGGAGTTGCGCAGATGTTTGGGCAAGTGGTTTGGCCGCAGGGCCACTGCGCCCCCCCCCCCCCCCCCGCCCAGCCTCCTGAACAGTGGATGGAATAATCTCCCTTGCGGATCCCTTGGGCAAGAGGGGAAGGCAGTGGGGCAGTGGGTTTGGGGGCAGCAGGACCCCAAAAACTCCGAGCTGAGACTTTCCAAGCTCACCTTCTGCATCCATTACACAAACTCAACCAATTATTGTGCGTGGTTTTTTTTCCACCTAGAAAAGCAACAGGAGCCTTTCGAGGGGGAAAGAGGCTGGCTTGGGTTGGTGGCTTCGGCCAGGGGAAAAAATACGCCCCCTTTTGCCTTTTTAGAACCGCTGGTGATGGGTTCGAGCAGATGCGCCTGCCTTGAGCACAAGCAGTGCAGGCGGCAGGAAACCTTGCGCTGGAGCCCCCTGGGAGGAGAGGAGGAGGAATTCCCCGCTGTGAGGTCGCTCTCTGCAGGTGCAGCTTCTTTCTTCCTCACCCCCTTGCATGCCCCCTCCAGCAAACATAGTCAAATATATTTCCTGTCTCATTTTTACGCACATATTTTTCCCCTGTTCCTTTTTCTGGCCCCAAACTACCTCCTGACCTGTGGCTGGAAGGAAAACTTCGGGGGCTGATCTGCAACGGCAGACAGAAGGCAACTCGGCCTGGTCCTTCTTAAGAGAAACTTCTGGCTGGCTTTTCCAAGGGGCCTTTGTTGGACAAGTTGGGCCAACTGGGCTGGAGAAGGACCAGCCCCAACATGGAGGCCCTTGCCTTGTATAACTTCCAGGCGTCCGAGAAGGATGAATTGGCCTTTAAGAAGGGAGACACGCTGAAGGTAAACTTGGGACTGGGGGGGGCGGGGGCGGTCAGGGCTCTTGGCAGATCAAACCTCACCTGCATTTGTTCTAAAATACCAAAAATCAGATCCAGTTGGACTGCTGAACAAAATCTGTCATCTGAAGCAAGTTGAGAGATGAGGGGTAGATAGATGATAGATAGATAGATAGATAGATAGATAGATAGATAGATAGATAGATAGATAGATAGATAGATAGATAGATAGATGATAGAGAGAGAGAATGATAAACAGATGATAGATAGATAGATAGATAGATAGATAGATAGATGATAGAGAGAGAGAGAGAGATGATAGATAGATGATAGATAGATAGATAGATGATAGATAGATAGATAGATAATAGATAGATAGATAGATTATAGATGATAGATAGATGAGAGAGAGAGAGAGAGAGATGATAGATAGATAGATAGACTGACAGATGGATGGATGAGAGAGAGTGGATATAGTTCCGATCCACCTTGCTAAAATTCCCCAAATAAAACAAGCATTATTCATCCTGCTTTTGCCAGAGCCTTCTGTCTCTCTAAAAAGTGTGCCTCAGAGCCATTTGGACTGCATCCTTGGGCCTCTGAGCTCCAGGAAAGCAATCTCCCCTTGAACTCCACATCGTCCCCTGGGCTTCCTCCACGGCAAGATGGGGTCTACCTAACGGGCTTTATCTCCCCCCACCCCCAACTCCAACCCATCCCCTCGGCAGCCTCCTGCCCCTTCCCCCCCACGGCTTCAGCCAGAGGTTTGCTTATTCCTCCTTTTGAACCCACAGATTCTGAACATGGAAGTGGACCAGAACTGGTACAAGGCAGAGCTCTGTGGGCTGGAAGGCTTCGTCCCCAAAAACTACATCAAAATGAAAGCTCATCCGTAAGTAGCGCTTTTTCCCCGCTTGTTCAAGGCAGATGAAATCATCAGTTGATTCCCTCCTAGCAGGGACCTGGCCTGCTTAGTAGGACGCCGTGGAGAGAAAACCAGCAAGCATTCCTTCAACCACACTTTGCCCATCGATTTCCGCATTTGTGTCTCTTCTCTGTGCGTATAAACAAGCATACAGTATGCATAAATTAAAAGGCATGGCAGTTTGTTGGTTTCATCCCATCAAGATCAATTCCAGCCACAGCAAGGATGCCAGATCTGGGTCACCGTTGGCCCCCCACGAAGCCCAAAGCAACCCCCTTGCAAGGCAGAGGGGCGGTGGACAATTGCAAGAGCAACCCAGAGAGTTTTCTTACAGGGCTCTGGTTGACGTTTTTTGTTTTCTCTCCCCACCCAACCCCCTGTTTCAATATTCAAATGGGGGGTGGGGGGGTGGGGGGGGAAAACCGAGCTGAGCTTCAGCCATGCGTTGCCTTGCAAAACAGGCATCCTGGGAGAAGAAGAACGGAAGATCAGAGAGCGAAGGCACCTGGGAGGTCTTCTAGTCTAGCTCAAGCAGGAGGCCCTGGCTGGCTGGGGAATTCTGGGAGTTGAAGTCCACAAGCCTTAAACTTTCTATGTTGAAACCCACCCACCCCCCCTCCCCGCCTTATATCATTCGGGACAAATGGCTGCCCAATTTCTTCTTAAAACCCTCCGGTGATGGAGCACCCACAACTAGGTTGAATCTCTCCTTGATTAGCTTCCATCCGTGGCTCTTTGTCCTGCCTTCAGGGGCTTTGGGGAAGAGGTGCGCCCCTCCCTCTTCTTTGGGGCAGCCCCTCCAATGTTGGAAGGCTGCTACCCTATGAAGAGATGAGACTGGAGTTGGGGGCTGCTCTGCTGAGAGCGCTTTGAGGAAGAGAGACGGCCTAACCTCTGAGCAGGGTCTCTTGCCCCACCCCATGGATTTCCTTCCTCCCCCATTCCTTCCCCTTGTGCCTTTCCCTGGTCCGGCCTCAGCTGCCGAGCGGTTGTCCCCAGGCAGAGCCGGCCCGGAGAATCCCAGCCGTGAGCTACTTTTGCAGGGTTAGGCACGAAGTGGGTTTCTCCTGCGCGCAAGAGAGATCAGTTCCGGTTCTCGCCGAAAGGAGCTCAAGCAGAGCAATCCACTCTCGTTCTGACAAGAGTCAAAAATAAACCGAGGCTGCTTTGTTGAGCCACCCACACCCTCGGGAGGTACAAAAGGGGAACCGAAACGTCCTTGGCAGCCCCGGTGGCTGTCACCTTGGATAGGTTGGGAACCTTGACCTCCTGCCTCTGACCCTCCAGGTGGTATTCTGGCAAAATCTCCAGGCAAGGCGCTGAAAAGGCCCTCCTCAGACGACGGTTCCGGGGCATGTTTCTCATCCGGGAGAGCGAAAGCAGCCCGGGGGATTTCTCCATCTCTGTGAAGTAAGTCCTTTGCCTCGAGGCTGTGGGGGAGGGGAGTGGGGGGTCCCTCTGCTGTTGGGGGGCCCCAGAAGGACCCGGGTGCCCCGTCAAGGGAACCCTGGGGAGACTCCTGCTGCGCGCAACCGTTCCCTTCGGCTGCAGGTCAGAGCACCAGAGGGAGCTCTCCACTCACCGGGAAGCAGCCGAAGCAGCCTCTCCAGGAAAGAAACCGCCCAGGGCGCTTGGAAGGAGCCAATTTCCCAGCTTTGGGAAATGAGGGAGCAATTAAAAGAATATAACCGAGGGTTCCTACCAGCGCAAAGCATGCTTCCACTTCTGCAGTAAACTTAATTGGCCATTCAGCGGCAGGTGCTTTTGCTTCTAGTGGAAGCCCACCCACCTTAAATGCCTGGGAGTTTCTGGGAGTTGAAGTCCACGCATCTTAAAGTCAGAAATGCTGCTCTAAGCCCCTCGGAGTCACCCAGCACCTTCCTTCCCTCTCTGTGCTCCTCCCACCCCTCTGGGGGTGACAAGTCGGGGAGGGCCCCCTCCTCCTCTGTGCACATCTGGAGGGGCCCTTCTCAGCCCCTTCTCGCCCCCCCCCCACACCTGCCATGACCATCTTGGCACAAGCCAGGCAAGCAACAAGGCCACCATCCCAACCAAGCTGCTTTGCTGAAGGAGGTGCCCGGGAGGGAGGGAGGGAGGGTGGCGAGAGGACACCATTCAGGTTCATGTTCAGACTGATGCGCAGAGCCTGGCATGCCAACCACCCAGCAAGTCTTCTGTGCCAAGGGCAACCCATTAGGGAGAGAGAAACCCGGGGGGGGGGGGAATGTGACTTCATCCACCCCTTTGCCAGCCTGGCACCTTTTCTTCATCTCGACCCACTTTGTATTCAAAGTCAAATCCGGGCCTTTTCTCCCTTTCTGTTTGCTTTTGTTCAAAGGCGACTCCTCTGCTTCCAAGGGACTAGAAACTTGTAGCAACAAGCCCCAAAGCTATCCGTTAAACATGACAGAACTGACCTCTCCTTTATTTACCAGGGAGTGGTTCTGCTCTCCGTGAGCACAGTTCTCAGCGATTTGCCCCTGGAGGGGGAACCGACCAGGCACATCAGGCCAGCGGAATGGCTTCCCCCTGTACTCACCGCGAAGGTCCTCGATCGGCCCTGCTCCTCCCCAACCCCCCTCCACCGCAGCCAGCATTCTTTAGAGGCCACAACTCCACAACTTCACACTTTGCCTTAAGTCTTCAGTGTAATGGGGTGGGAGTGTTTAAACCAGGAGTCCTGGAGTGTTTAAACCAGGACTCTCCATACCTGGCACTTCAACTCCCAGAATTCCCCAGCCACTTTTGCTTTGCTTTGCTATGCTGGCTGGGAATTCTGGGAGATGAAGCCCCCAAGTCTTAAAAGTTGCCAAGTTTGGAGGCCCCGGACCTAAGTTCAAGTAGTCCTTGACTTATGACCATGGTTGGGAACCAGAATTTCTGTTGCTAAGCAAGGCAAGATGTTTTTTGCCACGGTCGTTATGCAGATCACTGGGGTTGTTAAAGGAATGATGTGGTCATTAAGCAAACCCGACTTCGCTTATTGACAAACCGGCATGGTGGTTTGCAAAGCAAGATTTCCAGCTGAGCCAGATATGCAAAGTCATTTCGAGGGAGGCGCCCAGCAAGCCTCTCCTGGTGTCAGGAACCAAAGGGTCCCTCTTCTTGACTTCCTTTCCAAGAGATTGAATGGCCCTAGGTGTGTTTCCAAAAGGCCACAGGTGAGAGGCCCAGGTGTCATCCTGCCCTTGTGCGTCCTGTCCTGTTCGAAGGGAGGGGAAGAAAAACCAAGCTGAGCTGGTGGAAGAGGCTGGGATGATTCGTCCTAGATCAACAAGGGAGTTGAGTTTCCAGAGACAGCAATGAAAAGATGCTTCCTTCGTGCCCTCAATTATATGGCCAAAATGGTGGAGTCATCCTGGGTGGATTGGCAAGGCCAAAGGGCTGTAGAAACCCGGTTCCAGGATCCCAAGCACATCGATGTACTGAGATCTCATCACCTATAAGCCTTATGGTCTCTGCCCAGTTCCAGAAGAGGAGGGCAAAATGGGCCCAAGCCTGAGGTCTCCTCCCCTGCTTAGACCAGAGGAACAGGCCGGTTTCACCAAAGGTGCTCCAGAACCTGCAAAGTCGGGTCAGCCTTTGCATGGCTCCATCCTGGTGCCTCTTTCTAAGAGATGTCAACAGGCCAGGCATCATTTCCTCCTGACCTGGAAAACCACAGAGCTTGAACTTGCGTTGAGTTCTCTGCCAAAATTAAGCTGTGGTTGCTGTCTAATTTTATCATCGTTTTTCCTAGGATCATGGGGTGCAGTTTTCATCAACAGGGCGTAGAAAGGACAGCTCTGCAGCTTACTCCCGTGTCAGCAGAAAATAGGCAGGTGGCTTTTGAAGAACTACCAAGGGTAGGAAGCAGCTTTGCATGGTATCTTCTGCCACTTTCACATGATCCAGAAAGGGATCTGAGTCAGATTCCTTCTCCTGCCCAACATGCTGGCTTCCATGTGGCCAGCATGGCTGAGAATTAAGAGGGCTACATTCCCAAAATGTCAGGAGTGGGTTGAGGAGATTGACGCAGGATCATGACGGGTAAAGTGGCTTCTCCTGGAGTCCCGTTTGATTCTTCCTTCACATGGTGGGTCTCCAAAACCCAGGAAGGCTTTAACCCAGTTGTTGTAACTTAGGATCTCTTTAATGTTCAGGGCGGAATAGGGAATTTTCTGCCTGAAAAAGAGCTGTGTCCCCTTCCCAAGTGTCCCAGTGAAGAGAGGTTGACCCAAACCCATCTTGAACAAATCCATCCATTGAAGTTCTATAGCTGCCCACCCCGTCTGGGCAGCTTACAATTCAACACCGTCCATTTTTCTTCTCCTACAGTTGTTGGGTCTCCTTCAAACCAACCCTCAAAAGCTTTCTGAATTGATTCCTCCCCTCCCCAGCAGGCCCCCCCCCCCCCACCCCTCCCCCCCCCCCCCCCCCCGCAACGACACAACGCCTGCTGCCCCACCTCCAGGTTGGTCCTCTCATCTCAGGCATCAGGGGGGCACTTCAGGCATCGGCACCCAGAGCCAAGAAATGTGCTTCCTGGCACATTGCCTAAATCAAAACATCGCTCAGACTCTCTGGGGTGTTTAATCTGCGACTTTGCGGATGCAAGTTGTCACTTGACACAGGAACTGTGAAAGCAAAGCTGTTTTCCCGTCGCCTCTTTGTGTTTATATCAGCTTTGTGTCTTTCCTGTTTCAGCAGCCGAAAGCTTATGAGGCAGAGTGATGAGAACAGGGTATAATTATGGCTTAACCCCAGTGCTGGAATTGCAAAGGATGGGACTTTAAAAAAAAAAAGGCAATTTGCAGCTGGGCAGCTAAATTACCAAATAAAAGTTTCTTCTGGAGGTGATTTGGAACTTCCCTGGGCATTTAGAAGCAGAAGGGTAAAATTGCACCAAGTTTCTGGCCTCTGATCATTTTCCAAAGGCGGCAATTTTGAGAGGGGTGGACTTCAACTCCCAGCATTCCCCAACCAGTATGGCTTGCTGGGGATTCCTGGGAGTTAAAATCCACAAGTCTTAAAGTTTGGAACATGCCTTTGGAAAATATTGGGTTTAACCCTGGCAATTCAGGAGACCGTCGTCAAAGGCACCAGTTCTCCACCATCTCCAGAGGTTTTTGGCCTGTGACTGTCAACTGTTATTTTGCCCCAAGAAAACCAAACGCAGCAGTTATCTGGCTGGAAATAAGGCCTTTTGCAGTTATATCAGACACACAACACCGACTGTCATCAACCCCACCTGGTTGTCCACCTCACATCTCGCATACTGAGACCTGGCGAAGGTTGGCAAGCAAGTTGCACACAGAGGGTGCGCTCTTTGTGAGTCAAGGCTGTGGGGATTAGCAGGAGCTACGGAGGTCAGCCTGCAGGCGGATTGCTCTTATTCCTTTCTTTTCTTGGTTTAAAGGAAGCCTCGAGTCCTCGGCACAAGAGCCAAGGAGCCTAGATGGGAGAGCTTGGGCGAGGTCCCCACTGAGAGGCCAAAGCCCTCACTCGTGCCAAGTTGCGTCCTTCCTGTGGCAAACAGACTTTAAATAAAATGATTAAAATAGATAAAATAGATGCAGAAAACTAAGTTGCTTTAGTAAGGCGGAATATCAGCGTTGGAAGGGACCTGGGAGGTCTTCCGGTTGGGCAGGAGAGCCTTTACGGTCTCAGACTAACGGCTGTCCAATCTGATGGACGGGGGAGACTGTATGGTCATCCAGTCTATGCGGTAGACACACGATAAGGAAGGTCGCCCTGCTTCTTTCTCCACGATGGACTCTGGTCCATGAAATTGTTTCCTAGAACCATCAACCTGGAGGGCCGTTGAGGCCATCAAGCCAACCCCTGCTCCGTAGAAGAAGCCCAATCCACCAGCCAAGTGCCCGGCTGTGCTCCAAGCACCCAAGAGCTCTCCTCCTCAGCCCTAAACTTCATCCACCCTCTGCTTCCCTCCTAGCTGCGGAGACCAAGTGCTGCATTTCAAAGTTCTCCGAGATAAAAGGGGCAAGTACCACCTCTGGGAGGAGAAGTTCAACTCCATCAATGAACTGGTGGACTTCTACCGAACCACCAGCATCGACAAGAAGAGGCAGGTCTTCCTGAAAGACCATGGAGAAGCCGAGGAGGTAAGGAACCACCCAGCCTCCCCTCGCTTTCCCCCCCGTCCTGTTGTAACTGTGAATAGTCGTATACGAGTGGTTGGCAAGTCAAGGGCTACCTGGAATTGCACCCCTTAATTTAGAAGAGGGCCTCTTCTGGAGCCTCCCTTGACCTCCTGGGCTCCCACTGCCCACCAAGCCAAGGCTGACCTTGGAGAACATCTTGCCTTGGGAGCTTCTAACCAAGTGGACAAAGGCACCCCAGATCTTCTGTCTCACTGAATGATCCCCAACCTCTCGCTCTGAGAAAGAACGCCCATCTCATCCCCCACCCCATTCAACCACAGAGCTGGGACAAGGGGGGGCGGGAGGAGGAGAGAATTGCTAACAAGACCCCACATTTCCTTTCCCCTCTTTCGCCCGCAGCCCAGGAAGCCGACGTTCGTCCAAGCCCAGTTCGACTTCTTGGCCGAGAACCCCTCGCAGCTGAGCTTCTGCAGAGGGGACGTCCTCAAGATTCTGGACTGCTCGGACCCCCACTGGTGGAGAGGGAAGCTGGGGGTGAAGGTGGGCCTTTTCCCTCGGAACTACGTTTTCCCCCTGCGCATGTGACCTGCCTGGCTCACTCAACCATCCCTTCTGGACCTTCCCTTCTCTTGCACCAAGTCAGCCGATGTTCTCACTCGGCCCTCAGCCAGAGCCAGGCAAAACGTTTCATTACTTTCACACTCCGACCTTAAAAGAGGAACCCCCAGACGGCCGTTCAGAGGCTGAAACTTTGGGGCTCATTGCAGGCTGAAATGCTTTGCAGACCGATCCCCATCACTCACCTGGAGCCCAAACAAACCTCTGGAGTTTTCTAATTATTTTGCCTTATAAAACAATGTACTTCTAGCCGTAGAACCGCAGTGCAGCTTCAATCAAAGCGCTGTCCCAAGTCAGCCCTTCTTCACAACTGCCTTGTGGTCCAACCATCTGATGTTTTCGAAGAGCTGCTGAATTTACATGCTGGAAGGACCTACAGCAAGAAATCTGATCCGCTGGTTCCTACCACCCCACATTGGTAGGGGGGAAAAACTACAGTTCCCAGCATCCCTTGACAAGATGCGTGGACCGCCAACTTACAGTGGAGGGGTCCCTCCTAGAGATGCCCTGCAGAGCATGCTGGCCAGGGAATTCTGGGAGTTGAAATCCACCCATCTTAGAGTGGCCGAGGTTAGAAACACGGCTCTGGATGCTCTCTTGGTCTCAGAGCCCTTGACTGCCACAGAAGGTCTGCTGCAAACCTTCCGGCGCGCACTGTGGGTGTCCTGCTGAGTTTTGATCTCACACCTTGGCAGAGATCCTCAAAAGTGATCCTAGGGATGTCAAAGTGATTCCCCCCAGTGGACCGATGGACTCAGGAAGCAGGTGGGGGATTTCCCTCCTCTTTCTTTCTTTCTTTTCTTTCAGCGTTTCCTTATCCAGTCCAGCTCTCTCTGCTGCGCAGTCCTCTTGGTCAGCTGCCAAGGGCCAGGAATGAAGGCGCTGATAACCACCCAGCAAGTCAGAAAGTCCACCGGTCCCCTCCTTGGCCTTCTGCTGCCCCCCTAATCTTTATGAGACCTGCCCCAATCCAGGTGTTTGCTCAGCTACCTGCAGAGGTGCTCCCAAAGCTTATCAAGACTGCCTGGGGCTGGAAGGCATTTTTCCACCTGGCGGGGCTCCCTTGCTGGGGGCCGGCCACCATTCAGCCTCCAAGTGGCCCTCAGACCACCCCAGGGGCCCTCCAAGGAGGCGCGGCGACAGTTCTTGTCTTCCTAAGCTGCTCTTATCTGCCAGACACAAGTTTCCAAAATTGATTTATTGGGTTTTATCTTCTGTGCCACTAGGCGACTTGAAGAGCCGAGCAAAGTGGCAACCAGGACTTACAAACTGAACGCCGCCCCCACCCCCGGCCCCCAAGTCATTTCTTTCATTCCTAGGGGAAAAAATATCTCTTGATGAAATAAAAGTTTTCCCTTTAAACCCCCAAGTCCCTTTCGGAGAAATTTTCTTCAAATTCTTCTTCCAAAAGCCCCTTTGCTTTGCCAAGAACCCCCAGGGCGGAAATCTATTGAGAAGCACCCACCCACCCCCCCCCCCCTCTTTAAGGCCCCTTGGAACGCAGCCCCTTCCCTCCCTCCGAGATCACCCTTCCTGCCCCCACCCCAAAGAAACCCCTTCAGGCGAAGTAAGCGTAGAAAAAGAGGTTGATGCAGAGGAGGACCAGGGCATTGGCAGAGCAGACCTGGGACCAGAAGCCGGCTGCCCTCTGCGTGCTCCAGCCACCCTTCCCTGGGGCACCTCCGGCCTCCCTCTCGGTGCAGAAGGACCCCGGCTGGGGGATTCCTGGGGCAGCTGGCAGGGAGAGAAGGAGAAGCCGACGGTCAAAATCAGGGTGCCCAGAGATGGCGCTCTCCCCAGACATCATTGCCACCCAACCTCCATGCGCAGGAGCAGTCCACCTTAGAGTAGGAACGCCAGGGAGAACAATCAAGGTTTGCCTCCTGCTTGCAAACCAAGGCCATTTCATGACTTGCAGGTGTCCGTCAGCCCTAGCAGGGGCTGGATGGCCTTTGGGTGCCCCCCCCCCCAATGTAAGCCATTCACTTTCTGTCCCTGGGAGGCTGGCTCTGCTTTTTTTTTTTCGTCTTCATCCTCCGAGAAGAGCTGGTTTGGCATCAACTCTAGGATGCCAAGAGGAGTTTGGCTCCTGGCCCCAGAGACCCACCGTCTTTCCCCAGGCCAGGCAGGGAGGGGGCTCCAGAGAGGTGGGCAGATGAAGGCGCCTCCAGGGACCGCCGAGTCCACCAAGTCACGTCCTTTATCTACAGTGGTTTCCAAAACAGGAAAAGAGAATTGCGGCCGCTGATAAAACATGAACCCTGACTCTTCCCTTCCCTTCCCTTCCTTTCCCTTCCCTCTCTCTCTCTCTCTCTTCCCTTCTTCACCCATTTACTTCCTCTCCTTACCCTTTTCTTCCCCCTCCCCCTCCCCTCCCCTCCCAACTCGTAGGGGGGATCTTGCCTGGGGCCATAAGAAGAGGACTGTTTTGGGGGGAGGGGGCGGACCAGTTTCCAGCCCAGAACATCCTTCTGACGGCCCCTTCCACGCTCTCCTATTTTTCCTCTCCAGAGCCAAGGGACAAAAGCCTCCATCCCCCCCCCTCCATCCTGGAATCGGGCACGAAAGACCCCAGACCCAGTCCGGGAAACCTGGCTGGTTCCCCAGGGAGGAGTCAGAGTGGGTTCCAGGACAGGCTGTTTCCCAGCACTTCTAGGGGGGCAAAAGGCTGCCCTGTTTGGGGAGGTGGCTGTTTCTGAAGGCGGGGAAGTGGGGGGTGGGACTCACTGCTGGGAGGGGCAGCTTCACACACACCCCTCTCCCTCCCGCCAGCACAGGAATGCAGGACCGGCTCACCCATCATGCTTAGCTGCGGCGTGGCCGGTCGGAGGCTCTGAAGCTCAGCGTCCTCAGCCCAGCGGCTTCTGAGTTGTGGCTTCGGCTCAGCCGGAGACACAACCCAGCCTTTCTCTGAGTCAGCCGGCAGAGCAGCAGGCCTGCATCCAGCCTGGAGATCAAGCTCGCCTCTCCCGCTCCCAGCGGTGGGGCCAGGCGAAGCCCCCAATTCTCCCCCCTGCCCCCAAATGCTCTGCTACTAACTCCGTCCTTCCCGGCCCTCCAGTTTGGAAAGGGGGAGGGGATTTGGCCCTCCCTGGGGCACCTCTGCAGATGCCCCCAGCCATGCCCTCCAGGGGCTGTGCCACCCCACCTTTCCGGACTCACCTGGGCTTCAGACGGGGGCGGCGTCAGCCAGCTGATGCCCACCACGCTGGCCGCAGTCAGGAGACACAGGAGGGGAGCGAAGTGGAGGTAGTGCAGATCCCTCACAAACGGAGGCCGATGGTCCAGGACGCCGCAGCGGGGGGCCGGGTAAGCGAACTCCAAGGCCATCCGGCTCAGCCCCACCGCCAGCCCCACCGCCAGGCCCCAAAAGGCCCCCTGCACAAGGAGACCAAGGCCGTCTAGACCAGGCGAGTCCCCCGCTGGCAGCGTCAAGGCTCCCAGGATGCCCCGGCCAGCATCCCCCAACCAATAAGGCTACGGTAAGGGTCATTCTTTGGGGTTCATGCACCTTTCTCTCCAAATCCAGGTGAGCCACACACGGCCTCCCCAAGGCCAGCGTCCCATAACAACCGTCCGACACACCACAAGGCCCTCCTGAACCGGGAGGGACGGTTTTGTACCCTGGCCAGGTGTGCAAAGGGCTGCATGGGTTGGTTTTGCCTCCCCGAGCACCATTGGGGCAGCCAGAGGTCCAGCGCTGTTGAAGACAATGAAGGCACACACACACACACACACACACACACAAAGCACCGAAGTCACCTGCTCATTGGCTCTCTTCCAAAACACGGCCAGGAGAAAGACGGCAGTGACGGGAGGGGCCAGATAGCTGGTGACCGACTGGATGTAGATGAAGAGCTGACCGCTGTTGGAGCTCTGCAGGATGGGCAGCCACACCACACTCACCGCCACCAGGACGACGGTCACCACCCTGCCAAAGCAGCAAAGACACAGGTGCCCTTTGCCCTTCCCATCTCCCCCTGCTCACCTTCCCCCTTTTCCACCTCCAGAATCACCGGGGGGGGGGGACAAAAAGTGGGGGGGTCACAGCCGGATCCTCGAAGGTGGACTTTCCTAGGGATTCTGTCCCATCTGCCGGAAAAGATTGAGGGGTCCGTTGTCCCTGTTGAGGGTCATTTTTGTTCCTGGGATGGTCATTGACTGCAATAAACCTCCTTCCCTTCTTTCTTCTCCTTCTTCTCCTTCCTTTTTTTTCCTTTTCCCTCCTTTTCTTCTCTTTCCTTCTCCTTCCTTCTCCCTTCTTTTCTTCCTTCTCCTTCCTTCTCATCCTTTCTCCCTTTTCTTTTCTCCCTTCTTCTTTCCTTCTCCTTCTCCTTCTTTCTCCTTCACTGCTTCCTTCTCCTTTCCTTTCCTTCTCCTCCTTTCTCCCTTTTCTCCACCTTCCTGATTACAAAGGTTTCCCCCAACTCAAATAATATTTGAACGCCATCGAGCAACACTCCAGCCTCACTGAAACATTCGCTTATTTTAAGGTTTCTGTTTCCTTAAGGTTTCACGTTCTTCTGCAAAACCAAGGATGGTCTTGAATGGCTAAATAAGGGACACGACCCAGCCAAACCGGAACCCCCGACATCCGTCCCAGGAAGGAGAGGGGGAGGGCTGGGAGAGGGAGCTTGGCAGGCAGCCTAGACGACCAGCTGATAAAAACGGGACCTGAATCCAACCCAGAAGTGTAATTTGAGAAAACGTCTCCGAAATGACCTCCCCGTGTTGTCTGAGAAGCAAAGGCAAAGGGTTGGGGGGGGCGGGTGGAATGGAAGCTCTTGCCACTTCCTGCTCTTCCATCCTTACAATCAAGGTGTCGGTTTCCCAGCCTGGACTACCTCAGAGGGTTGACACACCCTTCTCAGCACACCCACGTCCCCTTGCAACCCATCATACGATGCAGGGACGGATTTTGCAAGCTTGTGGAAACTCAGCTGAGTCACTCTGGATTTCAGGGGCAACCCTAACCGAAGCCACTCATGGCACCCACATTCGGAAGTGACGGTGTCCCCTGTTTCTCCCAAGCGTTACGGGCCCGAGAGTCACTGCGGAAGGAATTCAGACGTATTAACACCTCTGAAGCCATCACTCAACAACGCCCCGGCCAGGAACGGTGTCTCATGGCTTATGACCCCCCACCAGGAGGCACACCAAATTCTGGGAAGCCACCAAAGAAAAAGGGGTTAAGGCCTTCCACTCCCACCATGCAAAACCCACAAATCCTCGCAATGCACCATCAGCCCTGAGAAAAACCATGATAAATAGAAGAAGAAGCAAACAAGTCCAGGCACATCATTATGATAACTCTTTATT